TGTTTGTTACCGATTGCTCAACGAAGTATCGAAGTTGGTTTTTAGGTTTATTGCTATGCTGTAATATGAATTTGGTTGTTTGACTGAAATGAATTTTAGTCAAATTATTTCATTCTAAAGCGAAATTTATTTCATCTTAAAATCACTATTAAATTTTACAGATTTCAACAGTGGAAGCAATATACTTGATAATTTTATGGTTCTTGGGACAAGCTTCTTGGCTTTATCCTGCTTATTTGTTCGAATTTCAAGGGTTGAATACATTCTATTTAATTTGGCTTTCTTCATTGTTCTTCCTTACGATCAATACAGGAATTATTGTTCAGCTAATTCGACGACATAATTGTAAAAGAAGTTGTGGAATAGCTGGATAAAATCTAATCATTCAGTCATTGTTTTGGATGATTTAAACAAAATAATGTTTTAGAAAATCAGATTTACACTTTTTTGTGTCACGATTTTCTCTTTGTAGGTAGGTAAGAGGGGCTTTAGTTCATTTTGTAATTTTCTTATAGTGAAACGAAATTAAAAACTGTTTTTGCTTTTTGGAAATTTTCTCATGCCGATCTGATCATTAGTGTTCAAGTGTAGCTGAGCAAATTGAGTTCCGAATGATATTGAGCTAGTGAATTTAATATGTACCAGGACAAATAGTTTCAAGTTATCCTGAATGAAGGCTCCCTTGGGTTATATATTGCTCTTACACCGGTAATTACATCGTTATTCCAAACCAGTATTGACTATAAAAATGATTTCATGGCTTCTTTATGTCTTCAAAAAAAAAAATTATTTTACGCATATTGCTGCGAAATATTGTTGAACAATTGTAATACATAATTGGAATGTTGTCATAAGAATGTTCAAGCGTTGAAATCTTAAAGTTATGTTAACTTAAACTTAAAATTTCGTTAAAAATTTATATGACTTACTGCTTAACTAGAACCGAAAGAAATAGATTGAAATAAATGCATAAATTTAAATGAAAAAACTTGCGTAAGGACGGGAATAAATGTTTTGTTCATACTATCATTATAATTCTTATTCCTTCTTCATGATTAATAAATTGTTATGTAAGTGTTGCGTGCTGTTTGTTATTGTCACATTTTGCAGTCGATGGCTAGATTTCATCTACATCTCATTAGTCATGTGTCGTATTTCATTACTGATACTGTTCTGCAGGTCGTAAAGAATAGAATTAATTGTCTTTGTTAGTTTGAAGTTTGAGTATGGATAGCTTGCACATGGAGATTGTTAGATTGACGTTTGGGAGGGCTGAACTTTTTTTTGTATGGTTGATGTTTTTGGTTTGTAATAAATCCAATTTGGATCATTCACATCTAAATTGCGCTCATGATGGTGTAGCAATGATAAGAGAACAAGAGATTAATTTAACATATATTATGACGCTTACACATTGATTTCAGTTTGGTAATACTTGACATTATTAGTTAGCAAATGAATACTGTATGAGTATTATTTATATCTTGGGAAGTAAATTTGTCAGATTGAATCAATCATCTTTTGTTTATTTTGGGATGTTGTGTATTGTCATTTGGTAGCATACGAATATGCTTTTTTCAGATTTATTGAAGTATACTGAAATCTATTTTATCTCAATGTTATATCTAGTCGGTTTGGGTTTGGGCAATGTCGATGATATAACGGTTAAGGGAATGGTTACTGTGCAGAAATGTTCTCGTGTGTATTTGGAAAGTTACACAAGTATTATGTCCTTCGGCTTAGATAAAAAGAAGTTGGAGGAATTTTTTAACAAAGAAATTGAAGAAGCGGATCGTATGACGATTGAACTAGATTCTGGTAGTTTTATTAACTTATTTTGTTTGAATTTTCAAATGTCGAGAAACATATTCTCTTCAGTTTTTTCAGTGTTATCATCATTACTCAGTGTTGAATTATTTGATTACAAGCCACTTGGCATTTATATATGGGTTGTAATTTATATTTTCGAACATAACAAATGCTGCCGGTTCATTCACGATGACTGTAGGATAATGAATAGTGAAAAATTAATTTTTTTTTTTACCATTTAGTAATAGATGGGATGTTCTATACCGAAATTATCATCAGAAAAATGAATGCCGTAGTAGGCATTCCACAATTCTGATTTCATGAGAGACAAACAGTGTGCATTTGAAATTGATTTTTCTTTCAAACTCTACTTTCATAAGTTTTGCAGATGATATAATAGACGAAGCATTCGATTCAGATGTATGTCTTTTGGTAGTTGGAGATCCTCTTAGTGCTACAACACATGCAAGTTTAGTTTTTAATGCACGAAAAGCAGGTGTCGATGTGGAAATTGTGCATAATGCTTCTATCATCAGCGCTGTGGGATGTTGTGGCTTGCAGGTAGGATTCAAAAAGTATCTTTATTTCTACTGTTGTAAAATGGTGCGAAATTTTACAACACTTCAAAACTTTTACTTTTGGAAAATCATTTTTCTGCTTGATTTCCGTGTGTTTTAGTTGTATAGATTTGGTGAGATCGTTTCAATTGTTTTCTGGGAAGAAAATTGGCATCCAGATTCTTATTATTTCAAAATCGCAGAAAATAAAAAGCGAGGACTACATACATTATGCTTGTTAGGTCAGTAGCCATCATCTTACATTGTTTACATTTTCATATATTCCCCAAAACTACAATATCTGTTTTTCTTTTCTAGTAATTACTTAAAAGGTTACAATGAAACCATAATTTGTCTACCTGAAATTTTGAGCAGGGACGAGGGAAAAGTTTGTTGCAATCCTAAGTGCATATTTGTTTCGGCTGATCAGAGTCATGATGTTGAGAAAGTTCAGTCATTAAAATAACAATTAAGTTTATAGTAGTTAATGAAATTACAACTCAAAAATCTTTAATTTCAGATATTAAAACGAAAGAGCAGTCAATAAAAAATATGATGAAGTTTGTATTATTTTAACTTAATTTACTTTGAAGTTTTGATTCTGCACAAAAATTGTGGATTTTTGAGACCACTTTTTTCACAGAAAAATTTTGTCTCTTGGCTCATTTTTTCGCTGGTTGAGATGATTTTAAAAAAATAAGTTCTCATTGATGGAAATGGTCGTTTTAAACATAAATAAGACAGCAGTGCAGTGTAATTTATTTACAAAAACTAAGGCAAAAATAGTGATATTTTATTCCTATGTTTTCATATAACTTGTATTTATCTTGATTATATGTATGTCAGTTGTTTTTTTGTTGTTTTTTTTTGTCATCTATGAATTAAAAATTCCAGAGGTCGGAAGGAATTTCTCCCTCCGAGGTATATGACTTGTTCCGATGCAGCAAAACAGCTGTTGGAGATTGTAGACCAGATGAATGATGAAAATATGGAACCCGGTAAGCTCACAAAAAGAAATTTTCAAATAGTATGAAAGCAAGGACTAAATGAATTTTGAAGCGCATGGTACTAATACCAGTTTAAAAATTTTACATTTTGTGTTAATATGAGAGACAGACAGCGGTGTCAAGTACCATTATAGATGGGATGTAAAACATGCAGTAGTTGACATGATGAGTTATAATGTATCGATGAATCTAGGTGACACAGTTAAGGCTGTTGTTCTTAATTTCCCAAAAAAAAAAAAAATGCTTTAATTAAAATATGCATAGGTCAGAAGAAACGTTAAAAATTTACGTGATTGCATTTTTTGCGATTTTATCTTTTCCAGCTCAGTTCCAAATATAATTTTTGAATGGAATTCGCATTGCTTTTTTTAGTCACATTGTCATAAAATATCATTATTTTATCATTCATTTATCCTTGTAGTTATTGTTTAATTTTTGATTTTTTTTCTTTTTCAGTATACACGAAAAGTACAGAAGTTGTGGCCCTAGCGAGGGTAGGATGGGATGATCAGAAGGTTTTGTTCTTTTCTTTGTTTCTTTCTATAAGAAAATTGATTTTATTGCTGAATGATTGATATCTGGTTATATAACTAGACTAGTTATCCTTTCACAAAAATGCATATACAGCTTTGTTATTTCTGCTGTTACCTGTGAAGTATGGTTGATATTTGGTTGTGACTAGATGATTCTCTTAATTCGGCTGAAAAAAATCAATTGCATAATAAAACTTCTTGCATATCGGTGTATTAGGGTGGTTTATTAATTAATTTCAGATTGTTTTCTGCTCTTTGGAAGCATTATGCGATCTAGACATGGGACCACCGTTACATTCATTGATCATTCCCGGTGAATTGCACCCAATGGAATTGGATTTTTTGAGAAGTTTTTACCACAACGTCTTTTAATTTATGGAATGCTTTGTTTTTTTTTTGTTGAATCTTTTTATAATTTTTACATTTTACTTGGTGCCCATGATTTACACTGTTGGATTATTCCATAAGATTTGAGACTGGAATTTAGAATTTCTACATTTTGATTTTACCATTAAATTTTTGTAACAAAACGAATGAAGGACAGAGAGGAGAAATTCGAAGCTCAGGAATGATTCCATCATCTGTGATCTCTTGTTTAATATGTTATCAGTTTGGACCATGAATTATTAAACTTTTGAAATTTAACGTTTTGAGCTTGTGATAATTTTTGTTCTTCGAGTTTATCAGTTATTACTAAATTGTTGTTCATTGCAATAAATAATTGCAGTTATCCATTTCTGTTGGATTTGAACTGTTTCCCGCAGCTAGAGGAATATTTTTCATTTTAATTTTTTGTCTAAAAAACGTTACTTGTCATATTCATTAACAAGGCAGGCTTACAGATTTGCGGATCAGAACAACTGTATTTCTATTAGCATGTGGAACCGTTGCAAGCAAACTCATAGATGGGAATATGCATTCAGTTTGGAGATGAGAGAACTGAGGTGATTAAAATTTGTTGTTACAATGGTTGATTCGGATTTGTTACTCTATGAATGAGGGTTGATCTACAAGGTATTCTCTGTTGTGTCCAAATGGTTACACTTGTTTCTCAGAATGATTTAAGTTAATAGTCTCTTTTCAGGTAATTATCGATGTATTGTCCGCTAGCTGTACATTTAGATTATGATCCACCAATTCCGAATACAACAGCACCAGTTGCAACTACTTCAGATTGTGTTTTGTCTCATAATGGTAGAAATTTCGTATCCTGAAAATAATGTTTGCATGCTTATCTTCTCTTGATTTCTAATACTTTATGATACCTGGTTTAAATTTTTGCAATGAATAGATCGAAATATGGGCAGATAATCTAAACTGAAAATCAGTTTCCAATGTTTTGTTCTGTTTTTAAATTTAATTCTTCTCACTGTTATAATAAAATTTCAGGATTTCTGGGCCGATCCGATCTGATTCAGACAGTTTGTCAGCTTTATGATGTGGTGCAGGGTGAACGTGTTCACTCACGGAAAACAGCCCTTATTCAACATGGTTCTCCTCTTCATCCCTATAGTGTTTGTAATCCAAATTACGGTGGTCATGAGTTGTGTTTGCCATTAGCTGTGGATTATGTTTCATCCGATTTCGCACCTCCGACAATGGCACATCACTTTTACTATCTTCATATACGAGATGCGAAAATTCCTACTTCTCTGAAAAATGATATTTACCGCCAATTGTATCATACGTCACCTTTTGACCTTCTCTCCAAATATACTGAGTTACGGAATCGTTTTGACTTAGTACCATTGAAAAAATGTCGACCATTAATGCTAGCTATTCTAAATTTTTGGATTCAGCGATGTAAACTGCTGAAAATGTGTCTAGATGCTACAGAATTTTTTCCGATTCGATTACAATGGACTGATTCAGTGTTTGAAGGTACGAGACTTGAGCGTGATCAGCTGTCGCAGAAGTGGGAAATTGGACGTAAGGTTTGTGAATATGGTTGGGCTATTGAAATGGTGCGTGCTGAACGTGTACCGGCATTTGCTGAAAATTGTCCGTTGATCTTTGTGGGTGATAATACGTCTACACGATTGGCACGTTATATCGAGTGGGGTAAGCGAATGAATGAAATAGATGGACGATTTCTACAACAGTTTGGAATCGATAGCTGGAAACTAGAAGAATTTGAACGAATGTCCACTTTGTTTCTGTTTTTGCAGAAAATTCATTTTGGTAATGGATGCGTTGCAATAGTACTGTCATCAGGAGCACATGAACTAGCTGAAGGAGTGGCACCGTCGAAATACGGCAAACTTCTGGAAGATATACTTCTGTATTTGTTACAGTTCCAGTTGCGAATTCTCGTGATTCCACCGACGCCTCGTGCGGAAAATCAGTTTCTTTGGTTCCAGTATGTGCAACAACAAATTGAACTTAGCGTCAAATTATCGAGCGTTGAATTTTTGATTCGGCCGGCTCATCAAGCGAATGATCGCTGTTTTCTGGATGCTCTTATTATAGGAAGTCGTACATTGGATTCATTTATGTGTGACAATGCTGGTTTTACTGATTTTGGAATCAAGAAACTTGGTTTTTTTCTGATTGAGGTGATGCAAATTCCAAGGACCGGTTATAATGGACAAATTTCAAAGCATGAAGTGACAACTGCAACAACTTCAAGACAAGATGATACAATCTTTACACACGATTATCACAGAGAAAGTACTGCTGATGTAAACCAACGATCACTGAGGTTGGTTGAAGCACAAGCTAAGGTCTGGTATCAGCCAAATATTATGAACCCGCTAAAAATTTTTCGACTTTACCCTCAGTGGCATGTACTGACTTACTATCAACCAGTTTTATATCTTAAGTGTTAAAAGTTATTCGGGTTCAAATACTGTTGGAAATTTGTTGATGCCATTCGCTACTAGCATTCAGAATTCTAGATATCGAAAGAAGAAAATCTCAAAGGTATCACATCACCAAACAACAAATAACAATCTTTTGTTGGAAAAGGAACAACATGCAGTGATTCACTCTGCTAAAAAACTGAAGCGATCTTCCAAATTATTACACCGGAACTGTTTTATGTTATCACAAGAACGACGTAATCGGCGTAGACAGGCGCGCACAGGGCGTGCCATCGAACAACTAAATAACTAAAATGAACCCAGGTCTTAACATGCTTCGGTGGATTTAATTTTTATTACCTTTTTCACTACTTCAAAAACTGGAACAAAATTTTTAATATATCGTTCTGAGTTTGTAGGGTTCGAAAATTCATATATTATTTTTGTAGAGCTCAAAAATTTGTATATATATATATATATGTTTAGAAGATCATGATTATATGCTGTAGACATTTCTTAAGGTTGCGATATAATTGGACGTTATATATGGTTATGTTGGACTCTCGAAAACTGTTTTCGATGCTATAATGTCTCTTAATAAGTTGATCCAGTTTTGTTTTTTTTAAAAAAAAAAAGAAAAAACATTAGTTTACTGAAAAATTATGACTAACACTAGATACAAAATAAAGGGTTATAACTAACATTTAGTACGCATGCTTATTTATCTCGATATATTTTCCTATACATTTATAATTTTTTTTCAGGTTTGGTAATGTTCATATATCAAGTTTCTCTCTGTTTGGTAACTGAACTACGGGGAATTATTGCCGGTCTGTTCGGTTTCATTTTCTCGATGATTTTTTTTTTGATACGCTTCAAATATATAATTTTTTGCAGAGTGCGTGTTTAATTAATATATTTATGTGTTGTGCATTTAAATGATTTAATATATTTTCTTTTACACTCTTTTATATTGGGATCCTACTCTTCACTACACCAGTATGATTAGTCGTAATCACTCATCTTTTCAGAGTTAGGGAAGTAAAAGAGATTTGTTAAAAATTTACTGTAGAAATATATTATATAATGTAATGCTCCGTGTTTATTTAAGGAATTTTAAAAACCTCGAAAACTTGAGATTTTAGATTATACTTTTCTTCAAATGCTTTTTTTTTCTATGTTTGAGTTTTTTAATAAATCAAAAAAATTAATGAAGATCGAGCTGTTCCAATATTCCTGTCCTACTTCTTTTTAGTTTGGCAGCTCAATCTTGATAAATATATGTGTTTTTAATTTGTGTCAAAGAAGAACTTTTTTTTTGTTCAGGCTTTTTCGTAAAATTTATACTGTCGAGGAATAATTTCAAATTTTTTGGTTGACGTGCCTAGAAATTTCAATTGTGTTTTCCTAACATTTTTTCGTATTCCTCATAAAAGACATTTGAATGATACGTTATAGGTTTGAATATTAGTATAATATTTGTTATTTTGCTAGTTACTTGTGTTTACTTGTTTTCTTTTCTCGTTTCTTTTCTTTTTCTCTTTCATCATTTATAGCACCATTTATATTGGTTTCTAACTTATGATTATAAGCTAGCAACGAAGTTTTTTTGTTCTGTGTTTTTCTTTTTCTTTTTTTTTGCTGCGGGATATATTTTGCTGCAGCAGAAAATGGAAGAGAAATGTTTCTAACGGTAGAAGAAATGATATGAAAAAAGGATGTAGAATTAGAAGTTAAAAATATATATATCCTAATTATTAAGAGCTGATTAAGACAGTAAACTTTTAATATTGGAACAATAAGAAGTAAACTTAACTGAAGTTGTAGCGAATATCGCGTAAAAGAATCCTGGTCGCCTAAGGAAGTTATATTTTACAATTTTAGAAATTTGAAAATATTAAAAATTTATTGCTACATAAATTTTCAAAGAAGAGATGGTTAGATATATATTTTAATGTAGAGTTGATCAGAAATTTATATATGATGGTTTTTTTAGTGATTGCTTTATTACTATTATTATTATTATCTTTATCATCATTATTATTATATCATTAATTACAGAAACATAAAAGTTTCCACGAGAATATGCTTCATTGTTGCCACTTATTGTCCTCATTTTTCATAATTTGTTTCCAGAATTTCAATTTCTGGATGCTTTTGGCTTGCAGTTAGATTTCTATCAGATCGAAATTTATTGTTGTATGGAGATACGTTCATAATTTTGGTAGGAATTTTTCGTAAAATGGCTATTTTTTTTTTCAGTGGTTTTATGATCGCTTTTTCAACTAGTATGAGATATTTGAAGTAGTGTTAGCCGAAGTATTCCATCTTTAACATTTATAAGTGTTGTTCGTTTTTACTTTTCATTATGATTTTATCTGAGTCAGTTGTTTGGCTTTGGTCTCACATTTATTTATTTAAATCAATCTGTTCTCCGGTTACAGTTCTCTCGATTACATTTACTTAGCGAGACAAATGGCCACTTAAAGTAAGTGTCTGTAATAGTGATCTATATATAAGATATTTCAAATTCCTGCTGAACTGCTTTTTTCTTTCAATTTAATCTTAAAATCAGTTATTAATGGCGAGTTAGTGTCGGAGTCGATCTAAATTGACATTTCCATGGGATCGTGTGTAGATTTAGTGTTTCTATATAGTTTGGCTTGCTAATGATTGATACTGTGATTGAAATTCAAATGAGTTCGTTTTGGTATTTTGCATTAAGATAAAATTTGTAAACTTATTAAATCTGTGGAAGTTACTATCAAATTTTTGTCAATCTGTTAGGACTTTGCAAATTTTCAAAATTGTTAGATGGGATGAAGCATATATTATGTGTCTTACACATTACAAAGAACGCGTTTAGTTCGAGAATGAATGTTATAACTATGAGTTCTTACTAATTGTACTGCTCTTTCATGAGCTCAACAGATCAGTAACCAACCATTCATGTTGCTACTGTTACAAAATGACCAGTTCTTGTTTTGAAATCAATGAAATGTTGGAAATATTCCGGGAAAGTAACCAATGTCTGGGGAAAAGTGACGTAATATCATTGAAGTTACCTTAGAAGCCAGAAAATATATCACTGAAATGGATTTTCCTGAATTTGAAGTGACGATCGATCAGTTTCTAGAAAAAGAAATATATATATATATATATATATATTGTTAGTGGACAATTGGTGCTTAACCTAAATTCCAGCTGATCAGATTGCTTTACTGAAAAATCTATAATCCCATTAGTGTTTGAGAAGATTGAGAAAGTAGCTGAAAAGGAAGCTAATAACAAGAAAACATATTTCCACTCAAACAAACTTCGTAAAAAATCGTATAATTGACGTTAATATAAATTATTTGGCTTTGTTTGAAATCGACTTTTTCAAATTTAAGACTTTTTTGTATACGTTTTATTTAAATATATGTATTGTAATATTCTATATATAAGTGCACTCATTTACCTTCAAACTACCAATATTTCGATGAAACAAAAAGAATTATCTTTGGTCTTTCTGGTTTTCTAATCTGTTTATAATTTGATATCTTCCAATAGCCGTTTTCTTTTTTGATTTTTATTATAAGTAGCATTTAATTACCAATTTCTTTTTAAAATTATTCTACAATTACTACTGGTTTTTAATTGCTTGCAAATTCATCAATCGCAACCATATATATGTCATTGACCATTTCCTTGCAATTCTTCGTAGACCAGTTCATTTATTTGTGATATAATACAAAAATGAATGCCTTAGATGGATATTGCGAGCTGTTTTTCATGAGACTTTTGAGATAGACTGCAAATTTACCATTGCTATAAGATAAGTAATTGGATAACTCCATAGTAATCCGATTTGTTATTTGCAAAATCATTTGTTGCTATAAATTTCAATAAAGATGAGAGAATTGAAAGAACTGATTAAAATTTTTGTAGAAATAGCGCTTTTCTTGCAAGAATCAACAAGAAAATTATAATCCCTAATCTATATTTAGTAGTGAAAAAAAGAATATATCATGACTAATTTGCAAAAAGCCTATCTTGGGATGCAATGTTTCTGGGGTGCTGAGTCGACATTTGCAAAATTGGATGGCGTATTGGCAACACGAGTTGGTTATGCTGGTGGTACCACAGATGCACCGAATTATCGGAATATCGGTGATCATACAGGTCTGTTTATTTTAGTATTTAAAAATTTTCATTTGTTTATCTTTTTGTATAAAATTTAAAACTATCTTATATGAAATGAATCTGTTCTCACTTCTCTTACTGGATTTCGATTGTTAAAATATTTTCCTAAATCATATGTAAATTAATTAATCTTAAGGAAGGCTTATTTCGAAGTCAGTTCCAACTTGTCTATTTCTATGGTACATATTCTTTTTCTTTTATATTAAACTTTCTCGAATTTGGTCAACACTTGAACATACCAAGTAAAATATTATCGTCTGTGTAGTTTAATGAAATTTAACATTAAGATGAGATAAATTACCTTATTATTTGCAAGCTTAGGTTTTAAGAACTCAGGGGATTAAGCCGCAAATCCGACTTCAAATTTTATATTTGTACTGCTTTTTTTTATATAAGTTGTCAAATTTTTTTTTTTTTTTTTACAAATATCTCAAATATTGCAGAAGTAACGGAAGTTCAGTTTGACGGAAACATTATAAGTTACAGTGAAGTTCTGGATTGTTTCTGGCGAAATCATAACCCAACTAAAGAATATAAAAAGCAGTATAAATCCGCAATTCTCTATCTGAATGATCAACAAAATGAGATTGCCAAGCAGAGTTTAAAAATGATACAGGTGATTCACATTTTTCGTAAACGTTTCTTTTGAAAATATTTTATTCATTTGTATAACTGTCATACTTGGATATTTTCCTGTATTTTGTTGTTTTATTTTTTCTTCTATAATAGAATTATTTGTGAATTGAAATGAAATTTCTAATCCTATTACAAAACTGATTATGATATATTTCTAGATTAATTGTGATGAGTGAATTATCTGTATGCTCTGATGACCTAAACTTCATGTCGCTTTGAGTTGTTAAAAAGTTTTGTACGTGTGTAAAGATAGAAAAAATTACAGTACTTTTATAGTGCCACCGAAAAATCATTTAAAAAGATGTAAAACTTTTTGAAATTCCATCTAAAAATTTTTAACAGTTTTCCAGGAGAAATACAACAACCGGAAATTGGATACATATATTCAAAAACTGGTTCAATTTTATCAGGCGGAAGATTACCATCAAAAATATTGGTTGCGTTGTCAAACGGCAATTTTTAAAAAGGTCAACGAGAAAAAGTCTTTTTTTT